GATAAGGGGGGGGGGGGGGGGTTGTGAAGAAACTATAAGTGGTAGAGGTGAGGGGAGGGTGTGGAGCGGGGGGGGGGGGGGGGGGGGGGGGGGGGGGTGTGCCCAGTCATCCAGAGCCTGAGATAAGGGGGGGGGTGGTCTTCAAAAAATTTTTTTTCTCAGTTTGCCTCAGTTTGGTCTAAAAAAAAGGGGGGGGGGACCACCGGGCCCCTCCCCTAGATCCGCCACTGCAACAGTATAAAAAGCAAAGACATACCGGCTTTTAGACTTTAACAAAATCTGCTTATAATTAGAATGTTTGTACATCCTGGTCGTAAATCTTCTATTTGCAAAATTAACAACTCGTGGGTTAAAAAATCCCTGTAAATTGTGACAAATGGGTCACCATAATTATCTGTAACTTGACCCAAACGGCGAATCATAAATCTTTGTAAATTGATCAATTAAACGGGGCACAAACAAACAAACGGGTAATTCTAATGTTCTTAATATCTGTAAATTGACACAGAGGGGATATCCGATAACTCCTTGCTTATTGCCACAAACGGGACACCATAAAGTCTCTGTAAATGAACCCCACAAAAGAGAGCGGCACCCTGGCTGTACTGGCAACTGCCAAAAAAAGGTAATTATCAGCCTGATCAGTTGGCCGTGATTGAAAAATATCCAACTTAAAGATCTAACTTTTGTGCGCATGTGTTGCTTACCGCTACATGCGCATTCTTCAAGTATGAATTGACCCGTTTTTGCTTAGTCCCTCTCAAGACATCATGATCTCTTGTCCTTGTACAGCGTCTTCAGTCCCAGGCCTTTTACCATGTGACCCGAAGCGCATAGACCGCACGGAAAAATGAGTCCTAGAGACTAGGCAATTGAAGGTTCTCCTTCTGATTCTGCTAAGATCATTTCAAGTGTATGTGTTAAAACAATTATTCTTTTAAATTTAGGCCACAGTGGTTTTATTCTTTACCACTATAACCTTTATTTTAAGAGGGTGACACCAATTACTATGAAAAGTATTCTCCTTAGCGGCCCTCTAAAAACAAAATTGATAATAATAAAATTACAGCAATCATGATAAAAAGCCTATTTACAAATAGTGATTATAATAAAAGATCTTAAAAATTCTAGTATTCTCCCTCCTTAGTGGCCCTCTAAAAACAAAATTGATAATAATTGTTAGAGGGTGGTAACCCTAATGCTAGGCATCATGGGAAGGGGCTCGAGAGAGCGACGTTCTGTCATGGCGTTAAGTTGAGTTACTGGCTTTTTACTGTTAGAGCTCTCAACGAAACATGGTACCAGGAGTGTGAACAAACGCTGATTATTCTGCTGCTATCGATCTGCTATCGATCTGACTTTCTGTGATCTTGTTTGTCTGTGAGTGTGGAATCTCGTCGATCGCTCAAACTTACTGCCTGAGATCTTCGCGCCAAAACCATACAAAACCACGAGTTAAACATGTCGGAAGAAGGAGCCGAAGCTGCGGCCCCAGCTCAAGGTCAAAATCAAGGTTTCTTTACTGGTAATATCATGAACTTCGAGCGACCCAAGTTCGATTCCCACCACGAGAATCGGCTAGAAGCATTGAAAGCCTTCAAAAAGAAATGTGGTTACATCTTCAAAGGAAGTCTTGTGAATATTTCGAATGAAAGAAAATGTATTTTGGTTCAAGATTGGCTTGGCCCTGAAGGTCAAAAGATATACGACAGCCTGGACTGGTTTGAAGGTGAGGATGTAAACGACTATGATCTGATGTGGACTAAGTTGGAGCGAGCGGTAAGTCCAGAATGTAACGAGATTGTTGCTTCTAAAAAATTTAAAGAACGAGTGCAAAACCCTGGAGAGACAATAACTGCTTTTGTCACTGATCTGCTGCTGTTAGTGAAAGACTGTAATTATGTAGACGAAGATAGACAAGTGAGAGATCAATTTGTTTATGGTGTCTCTGATGAAGAACTAAAGAAAAGATTGCTAGAAAAAGGAAACACTCTCACAAGAGTTGAAGCTATTACAATTGGCAAGGCTTATGACAGTAAAAAGATTGAACTCCAAGAGTGCAGTGCAAACCGAACTCCTGCAAAAGAGAGTATAAAAGCTGTCTCTAAAGATAAGCCCAAGAAAGTCCTCATGTGTAATTACTGTGCAAACAAAAAGGGAGCTCATAGCTTTTCAGACAAGAAACTCTGCCCCGCCTGGGGAGCCGTCTGCAGAAAATGCAAGGCCAAAAATCACTTTCAAGACTCAAAGGAGTGTAAACGCTTACAAAAAGGAAAACAGGAGAAACACTCAGATTCAAAACAGTCAAAATTAACCTCAAAACCGTTTGTACTGAGAGTAGAAGAAGATGGTGAGGATCACTATTATGAAGTTCTTGACAAAATCGATACGAGCTCTGCTGAAGAACAACACTGCGTTTATCTGGGAAGAAAATGAACAGAAAGCTTTTGATGAAATTAAGACCCTCATTCTGAATGCACCACTGCTAAGATACTTCAATGTGGCTGAACAAGTTGAAGTCCAAGTGGACGCATCATCAAGTGGTTTAGGAGCCTGCCTCATGCAAGGCGGCCAGCCTATACAGTATGCATCGAGAGCATTAACAGACACTGAAAAACGTTACAGCCAAATCGAGAAAGAGATGCTTAGTATTGTATTTGGGCTCACTAGATTTCATACCTACACCTATGGTAGGAAAGTGACAGTCTATAACGACCACAAACCCCTTGCTGCCGTATTGAAGAAACCTGTTGAAGATAACCCTGTTAGACTTCAGCGAATGCTATGTAGAATCATGGGATATGATGTCGAATTCAAATATGTAAAAGGCAGAGACCTCTTTATTGCTGATGCCCTGAGCAGATCTCAACCGACTAACCAGCACCGAAGCAAGATTGAACAAGAGATTGAAACGACAAGACTTGTTCATGAAGAACAAAGCTTAACAAGCAACTTCGCTGAAATTGCAGAAGCCACTGCAAAGGACGCTGTCTTACAGTCTGTCATCGACCACATATCAATGGGCTGGAAACCAAGCAAACGAAACGTTCCTGTTGAGATCTTACCGTATTGGAACATTAAGGATGAACTGTCCGTTAACGATGGAATCGTTTACAGGAGTGATCGCATCGTAGTCCCAGCAACACTCCGAAAGACTCTGATTATTAAATTACACCAAGCACATATGGGCACCGGGTCAACCCTTAGGCGTGCTAGAACTTCATTATGGTGGCCCGGAATGAACAATCAATTGAAAAAGTTCATTGCTACATGTGAAGTCTGCAATGCTTTCCAGACTAAGAACCAAAAAGAAACACTAATCAGTCATGAAATTCCTAACAGACCTTGGTCAAAAGTTGGATCTGACATTTTTGAATGGAACAAAGAACACTATCTTGTTCTAGTTGACTATTACAGTGACTGGATTGAATTTGACTTGATGAAAACCAAACTGCATGTGAAACCATTAATCTAATGCAAAAACAATTTGCGAGATGGGGAATTCCTGATGAGATCGTCACAGACTGTGGTAAGAACTATGACTCGGTCGAGTTCTCGCAGTTCTGCCAACGAAAGAAGATTAAACATACCAAATCTTCACCATATCACCACCAAAGTAATGGAAAAGCTGAATCTGCTGTGAAGATTGTCAAAACTTTGCTGAGGAAAGCTGAGAAAACAAAATTGAGTCCGTACGAAGCATTACTTAACCAGCACAACACGCCGACTGCTGGTATGACAACATCTCCCGCACAAAGATTCCTAAACCGTCGAACAAGAACTGAAGTACCTATGAAAGCGACATTACTGACACCTGGGATTGCAGAAACAGTGTTAGCAGAGAAAACTAAGAAACACCAGAAATCTCAAGCCTATTATGACCGCACTGCTAAAGACCTAAATGAATTAAGGCCTGGAGATACCGCTAGAGTCAAGCCTGAAGGTCTGTTGAAAGGACAAGAGTGGAAGAAAGGAACTGTCTCACAGAACTGTGGATACCGTTTATATGATGTTAATGTGGATGGTAAACTGCTCAGAAGAAACCGTGTACATCTTAAGGAAGATCAGCAAGTCAAAGTTACGGGACCCTCCTCGAAATCTGCAGAACAGAAACCAACAGCCGAAGACTTACCTGTAGTTGTTATTGAAAAAAATGGAAAAAAAGTCAAACCACTAAAAGACACCGCAAAGGCTGCAGAACCTGCTAAATGCACTAAGATGGACCTTATTACTGTTAAACGTACACGTTCGGGACGCTTAGTGAAAATGCCGCAAAGATACTCTAGTTAAACGTAAAATTGTAAATTTTACTGGGGGGAAGGTGTTAGAGGGTGGTAACCCTAATGCTAGGCATCATGGGAAGGGGCTCGAGAGAGCGACGTTCTGTCATGGCGTTGAGTTGAGTTACTGTCTTGTTACTGTTAGAGCTCTCACCGAAACAATAATAATAATAAAATTAGAACAATCATGATAATAAGCCTATTTACAAATAGTGATTATAATAAAAGATCTTAAAAATTCTAGAGATTTAAAAAATTGAGAGATGTTAAAAACGGTGAATACACTGGTAAATAAGGAAATCCAATTTACAATGATATTTAAAAAAGCACGAATTTTTAAAAAATCAGAATAACTTTTTAACTTTAAAATTGTCCACCGTATAGTTTGAGGCGGCGTTATTAGTCGGTGTCTTCATTAAGCTAAAGGAGGTAAATTCCATTCTGATCTGAAAATTCTGCCACTATTCATTGCTGTCTAAAGCCCACGCCATTTTTTTATTTCGATAATATACGTGGAATTCTTCCTACAATCCAAAAAAATATCCCATGCACAAGAATATCAAACTCAAAGGGTCAAGGGTTAATGGGATTGGAGCGAAGAAAAGGAGGACTAATGCGGAATTTCACCCTCTCTTCACAGACAGTTCATTTAAAAGTACATGAAATGTCGTAATATATATTCTTAATCAAGAGAATTATTTTGGACATGTCCTATTTTCGTTACAATAGATCGGCTACTACAGGTAGGTCACAGTCGCATAAAACGTCGTAAAGTTCCCCCACAGACAGGTAACGCTGATTTGCGATATGACCAATCAAAGCATCTGCTGGGTTCAGTATGCGTTTATCGAGAAAACGAATTTCTTGTGGAGTTAAACCCAGTTTCTCAGCAACAATCTCCCACTGGTCTCCTGTAACATAAGAACAGGGGAAAGGAAAGTTACCCTAATTTTTTTTTCTCCCCGCCCCAATTAATCTCTTCTCCATTCTTAAGATTAATTAGAAATTTGACTCTTTCGCTCATTGCGTGTGGCTCTGAGAATAGCCTGCGTAGCACGGCGGTTTTGTCGGGAGCACTACTGAGCGGCGAAGCCGCAAAAACGTGCGCAAAGCGCGCGCTTTCTCTGCCCTCGCCTGCTTTTATTACTTTGCGCGCCCAACCAAAACCGCCATGCTAGGCTGGCTACTCTGAGGAAAGAAAGACGACCGCTCGCGGTCTACCCTAAAATGCGTGTGAACATACTTTAGAGGTGTCTGTCTCCATTTTGTACTGAAAAAGTGGATATCGCCTTAACTGCTTTTTACCCTAAGTTCTGATTTACCTAATGGCTCAGTACTTCGAGTCGTTAATATAAAGTAAGCATTGTGCATAAAGAACAATGTATTTTTTAACTATAAGCTGCATGGAGCGTGGCTCGGATTCGTTAATATAAAGCAAGCATTGTGCGCAAAGAACAATGCGTTTTATAATGTGCATGGAGCGTAGCTAAAAGTTACTAGAAACAGCAGGCATGGTGGAAATAACCAATAACTGAAGCCCTGTCCACACGTATCCGTATTCATTGGAAAACACAACTTTTTTTCTCCGTTTTCAAAAAAATTGCGTCCACTCGTTGTGTTTTCGCCCGTCCACACGTATACGCATTCTCGACCCCAGTGCTTACGGGTCTGGTGATGCGCGCGTCAACTCTGGGAAACTCTGCGCCGGCGTAGCCAAAATCTGGTTCTTTGGGCCTCATAGCGCATGCTCTTTTATTCCAACACAAACCTTTTTCTTCTTTTATATCTACTTCATCGCGAAAGTTTTGTGCTGCTTCGGAATTGGAACTGAAGAAATTAACGGAGCCCTTGAAGAATTTTCAGGTATCCAAGGCTCTTGTGGTAGCTGCTGAGAACATACCGTTAAAATTCGCAGATTTGAGATTGGAAATTTGCATATGCTTGACAGTTGATTAAATATTTGCGTGGACTACTTCACGAAGCGGTAGGTGAACCCTGAATGGCTTGTTAAGGTGAACATATGGAAATTCCAAGAAAACTTTCCAAAATAAGAATTTAGCGTCCTTTTATTTATGTTTGTTCATGAATATTAAACGCTTCAGAAAAGCTACTTTAAAATACGATGTCGTGTGAAGTGAAGACAACTATAAACATCTAGTCGCATTGTAAACGCATTACTTTAGGGAACGATTGACTTTTTCTGTTTACTTTTCTCTTGCAAGTCTGTTTTAGGGCAATTTACGACGTTAAGCTAAAGTTTTCATTCATACTCGGCTTCTTCGTGTAAATACGACAACGTGGCAGTGGAAGAAAAATCATTAATGTGACGTCATGCTTCTTACATTATAGCTGGAAAAGATGTCGGTGTATTCAAATCTTTTTCTTGGTCAATTTTCGATAGCTAAGGTATTTTATTTGAAAATTGGGGAATCCAGTTATTCTGCCTAATTAGTTGTGCAAATGTTGTTTTGGAATCTCTGAAATCAAGGATCGGCTGGGCGTGTTTACTTTAACATTCTAAAGAAAAACCCGCTCACACGCCAGACACGCCGCATGTTCACCCGCTCTCGTTCAAACTTGAATGGACCAATCAGAAACACGTGTATTGTTTTTTGCTGAAACCAATAAGAGACAATCTTGTTCCAGGGTTCCCCAGAGTTCTTACTCCCTTGCCTTCATGCGCAGAAGCTGTGGGATCGAGATTACACGTATACGATGAATCGATTTGAAAACGATAACTTACCCGACTACGCATGCTTGACACGTACGTGTTCGCTATTATGAGCCCGCGAAGTAATAAATTGACGCCATCTCTAAATTTCTTTGGTGTGGGTTTATATTGTTGTGACGTTCTTTAAAGTCGCAGAAACAGTTTAAAATGTCAGCATCAGGGCAAAAACAAAGTCAAACTAAAGGGAAATCCAACCTTCCGCCTCTTGACACCGGTAGCGAAAGTAACCTGATAATGTTCTGCCGCCTCCTGGAATAATCAGCTAAAGTTACTTGAAAACAGGCAATTAGGTTAGAAATAAGCCCAAGTATAAAAGACAAGGAAGGGAAGCGCCCTTCCGCCACCTTCAATAAGTTTCTAATATTGTGCGGAGTGGATTGGAACTGATACTTTGTCCTCAGCGTTTTTGAAAAAATCCGTTTTCGTTTGTCCACACGTACACGCTAAAACAGCGTTTTCAAAAAGTTTCACTCAGGAGAGCGTTGTCGAAAAGTTCCGTTTTCATTGATAGTTTTCATTGGATACGTGTGAAAGGAGGCCGTATCCATAAAGAAAAAGTTGCGTTTTTAAATGAAAACGGATACGTGCGGACGGGACCTGAAAGCTTTTTCAATCATACCACATGATAAAGCGATGGTCAGCTGCCTTCCCAAGGAGACAGAAATTCTTCGCACATCAAGATTTTCACGTAACAAAGGACCTAGAAAAAATGTGATAAACAACTTAGAACATTTCGGTCTATCCATAGTTGGAAAGTATATGGACAGATACATATACACGCTCAGCCCAGCGCAAGTAACTGCAGTACCTACAAGTTAATATACTGACTTCACATATCTTGAAGGCGGAAAGCAAAACAACAACTATAAAAACTGCTAAAAAAAAAACACGATACAACAGCAAATCCTTAGGATGCATTTAAATGTACTCGTGTTCCGAGAGCCATGTATAAATTATTAAAACTGATAAACACACCCGTTGTTCCAGCCGGTGTCATTCCTCTTAGATGAATGATGACATCATCCCTATTTGAAACCTTAGCTTCCCTTGCGAAACAGCGAATCAGTTGTCTAGTGTGGCAATCTGGCTGTTCAAAACAAGACTGGTCCAATTGCAAATTTTCTTTCAACTGACAAATAACTTGCTCCGAATCACAAGATCCGGGCGTAAGGGCTTTCAAGACAACATCAGGGATAGCTATCGCCTTCTCCACATGTTCTACGAAATAAAATGGAGCACGTTTAGAGGTGTTTCAATTGTCCTACCCTATAGCCGAGGCGCAGCATCAAAGCTGAGTGACTTTATGCTCCCGAGATCTATTTGTGCGTGTATTAAGCACCCACACCGACAAGAGCAAGAAACTGACGGTCTTTAAAGTCGTGGGACCATCAGTAAGCTAAACACCTGATCTCGTTATTGAATTGGACAACGAAAGCTAGTCAGAGTCCAACCTCAGTGTGTACTTTTTTCGGATCAAAGCAATACATTTTTGATAACCGTCATGTAACCGAGCTAATCACTTACAATTAACACTACAGAGTATCTGAGTTCCATGAACAAAATAAAGTCTGGGGTTCTAACTCTTCGAAGGAAAAAACGAAAACGAACGCCTACCCTGGACGCATAAAGTAGACTTGAATCCTCTGAAAAGTAGTATAATTTAAGACTAATGGGCTGATGGTCGGATGATAAGTTTAATGGATAGTATTTTGCCTAAATTTGCTTTTTTAATTTTTTCTTTTCATCCAGAAATCCCCCGGCTAGTTCTCCAAAAAATTACTTCAATACGACAGGGTATCGCACGGTTCTTATGCCTGTGTCACCAATAGAGAAGAGAAGTGTGACATCACGTTCCATGGTAGATAACCTTTCTTGAAAGGGACGACCATTTGCATTGTCGAAAGACAGAAGCAAACTATGGGCTAACGTTTTGTTCCTGAGTGCAATGATGCACAGGAGTCATGCATGTCAATTTTTTAGTCTCTTCTGCAATGTATTTGCGAAACCATGGTTTGTTGAGAACCAGAAATTTTGCTACAACCAACGTGAAGTACAGACTTTTCCTCTCGATTCTTCAGATGTCTGCGATCTCCCATCATTATTTAGTTTCAAAAATTGTATTCGTAAATTTGATCTAGGTGTAATGATAGACGACGACAATTGCTCCAATTGCATCCTTTGTAATTCTTAATCTTTTTAAATCAATTATTTCATTAGTTTTTTAACTATATTATATTGTTAGGTAACTATATTATATTGTTAGGTGTCCCCAATTAGTAGAGGGGTTCTTAACCCCATCGGCTAGACATTCCAAGACACATTAATAAAGTTTATGTATGTATGTATGTATTTTCAGGGATAAAGGAACGTGAGATATCAGTTAGTCTAAAAAATAAAAAAGTGTATCATATTCATCAATGTTAAGGACGATGAGATTATCTATTTGGAAAACTTGCTCATGCCCATCTTACAAAACATTTATCCTAAATAAAACGCTTAACACAGTCGGTAAAGGTGAATAGAGGATATGCAATTCTTTTGTATTGCTTCAACAATTACTTGCTCAGGCCTACCTTCATTACCCGCAGAAAACCTTTCATCAACTTCGAGCTGTGAGAAAATAGATGTGAGAGTAGTGTTAGTTATCTAATGTTATAAACCCATACAAGAAGTTGTAGCTTCGGTTTTAGTCAAAAAAATTGTACTGGTTGGTTGCCTTGAAAAAAAAATGCACGGTCTAAGTTAGCGAGAGCACGCTCCGCCCCAAGACGGGTTGATAGGTTGGAAGCTGTTATGGGTACCTTAGTCCTTAGGGTGTTCCAAAATTCTTAAGTCACCAGTTGACATTTTCATCGTAACAATATCTTACAACATCTTACCAGTTGTTCTTCAAAGGGAAGCCAAGGAGCAAACTGCATGACCGGAACTCTGGGATTCTTAGTTGACACAGATTCTGTACAAAAGACGTCTTGCTTGGAACGGTACAAGTCGGTAAGGGACCAGAAGTGCAGGCATTGCTCTTCTTCGCAACCTTCTTTCTGATGTGTTCGAGAGTAGGCAACCGATCCTCGCTTACAGCAAACTGGACATAAAACACTCATTTCATATTTCATATTCTTTAACCAACAAAACTCGTTACGCATGCACTCAAGCGTCAAACCCAATTGCTTTCTCACAACAGCGCAACAGTTAATCCCAGCGGTGTCTTGGTGACAATGTAGAGATGATGACATCTTTGATGACGCATCCTCAGCCATTTCAAGGTTGTGACTTCCTCTGTGCATTACAATCTCAACTGTTGACGAGTTGCAAATCAAAATAACGGAGTAGTCATCTTCAGTGGTGAAAAACCTGGCAAAGCCATTGAACAAATGAGGGTTATCATCTCTCCACAATTTGTCTTTGCCCCACTGAAATAACTGCAGTACTAGCCGTGGGAAAAGCCCTGCAGGGACTAAACCACTCTTGAATTTGATAAACAAGGAAGGAAACTTTGCAGAGGCAGCCAACTCAATGATCCACTTCGGTGGGGGCGACTTTAACATTGAAGGGACTAGGTAGCTCTTGTTGCTTGTTTTGTCAGACGGCAAGGAGCACAACAGGCAAAATTTCTCCATTATTTCAATGAGAGTGGCACATGTTTCTTTCTCGTTAAACAAAGGACCCCAAACATGTGCTAGGAGATCTTCATCCAGAATTCCTTCCCTCTCAAGCTTAAGCCATGAATCCAAGAATTTCTCTTCATCAGCATCATATGGCTTGACAGTGATCACCTGTTTAAGAACGTCAATTAGCCACTGGGGATTTAATATTATGACTTTTTTCAGCTCGGCAGTGTGATCAAAATGGATTAAGCACCTTAGGTCATGCAGGTAGTTCATCAACGTCGTGAACTCGTTCTCTTCGTTGACTTTGCCGACCTCCGAAGCGATACCTTTTGCCGCTTCCAGGGAAATGCATTTATATCCCTTTTTCTTCACAGCTTGAAGCGCCTTCTCAAATCTCAACCACTTCAATGGAATGGTCGCCTTGATGTGCGGAAGTTCTTTAGCCTTTTCAAGTACTNAATAACTGCAGTACTAGCCGTGGGAAAAGCCCTGCAGGGACTAAACCACTCTTGAATTTGATAAACAAGGAAGGAAACTTTGCAGAGGCAGCCAACTCAATGATCCACTTCGGTGGGGGCGACTTTAACATTGAAGGGACTAGGTAGCTCTTGTTGCTTGTTTTGTCAGACGGCAAGGAGCACAACAGGCAAAATTTCTCCATTATTTCAATGAGAGTGGCACATGTTTCTTTCTCGTTAAACAAAGGACCCCAAACATGTGCTAGGAGATCTTCATCCAGAATTCCTTCCCTCTCAAGCTTAAGCCATGAATCCAAGAATTTCTCTTCATCAGCATCATATGGCTTGACAGTGATCACCTGTTTAAGAACGTCAATTAGCCACTGGGGATTTAATATTATGACTTTTTTCAGCTCGGCAGTGTGATCAAAATGGATTAAGCACCTTAGGTCATGCAGGTAGTTCATCAACGTCGTGAACTCGTTCTCTTCGTTGACTTTGCCGACCTCCGAAGCGATACCTTTTGCCGCTTCCAGGGAAATGCATTTATATCCCTTTTTCTTCACAGCTTGAAGCGCCTTCTCAAATCTCAACCACTTCAATGGAATGGTCGCCTTGATGTGCGGAAGTTCTTTAGCCTTTTCAAGTACTTTCTGTCGCAAGCGTGCGACTTCTGGGCAGTCAGAGTTTTTGACCCTAAGACTTGTGTTATCTACAAAGAATACATCACACAAATGGCCACCATAAGGTTTGTCCTTTAGATAACCAAAAATTTCAACAGATAATTCTCTAGGGTCTCGACCGTCGAATGGTTTATCAGCATGCGTGCATACCAGGAAAACGGCAGGAAGTTTCTTTGGCAACACATCTGACGAGCAACATTCTTCTTCGCTACAAGTTAACGAAGCCACAGACGTCAACCAGAAGTTGAGATAATCTATATTAGTTTTCAGATTTGCGCTCTCTGGTATTGCTTTGTATACACCTTGTTTCTCCAAAGGTTCAGCTTTGCCATGTGGATCTAAGCTTAGGTCATACACCAGGCAGTAAATTGCTCGTGATGTCAGAAACAGTGGGTGTGTGTCATAATAAACTGACTGTCCTGCAAAATCCCAAAAATTAGAACACACGTCGTCTCTGTTGTCCTCCAAATCGCCACGAAGCAATGATTCAGTCACAGCTGCTACTTCTTCGAACTCGAGCATGATTTTAATAGATTCGTGAGTAACTGGTTCCGGATTTAAGTTTGTTGAAGACGGTAATACGCCGAATTCATGACTTCTAAGAGTGGGATTAGGTGCCTGAATGATGTCCGCATTTTTCGCAGGATAATTTGGTGTTGATTCATATGAGATTTCATTGCCACCGGGTTCAAAACTTTCTTCTGCCATATGAAATTCCTCTGCTGTTTTAGTTACAATTTCGGCCTGCTTTACGCTATCCACGATGTATCTGGCTGCAAGAAGACCATAGGAATTTGCTGTAGTTTCAGACGTTTGGTCCTCGCTGCTCTTTCCTGTTACCCAAGGCTCTGTGGTCAGTTTAAAATAGGAAGGATCCACTTCTATGCCAACGGTGCTATCTTCTTGTGGGTTATAGCATATCCCTTTTAGCGACTTCATTAAGCTGGTCTTTCCTGCTCGGTGTTGACCAATGAGCATCAATGGAAACCTTCTGTCAGACGTTTTTCCATGAGTGAGAGCCTCTTTATAAGCTTCCACGGCGGACGAACCCCTTGCAAGAATCTCTGGAGGAACTATAATGTAAGAACAAATGTTTCACAACCTCAGTTTTCTAGTCCATCGGTGTTGCTTCCGAAGATTTGAGAAGATAAAAAGTTAAAGTAGAGGGGAAAACAACGTTGTATTTCTCAACTCACTCTTGTGTCATAGACTGTCGGTCACTAACTCACACCTATATTTCAAATTAATACATGTCTCTGCACATTCAACGAGCATCTAAAATGATATGATGAAAATAACAGTTAAATGTCAACGCCAAAAACAACAAAGCAAAACAAAAATTGGGTGAGGTTGACCACTTAAAACAAAGCAAAGCTCAGTCCTGTAAAATCAGCAAATAATTCTAAAGAAAAGACACAATGATCAACAAAATAAAACTTTACTTACCCTTGTCATGAAACAAAAAGGCTTGTGCTTCCTTTAGAAATTCTAGAAATTGAGGCAGCTTCTCAGTTATGGGCTCTGGTTCCCATGATCCGCTGCTAAGTTAAGTGTCCCACTCTTTGTATCGCACATGGACGTCAGTCTATTGAGCAGCAATGGAAAGAGAGAGTCGTACAGGTAAAATCTTTACATCTAAACATAGGGTGATTGTAGCTAATATCAAATGGTCAATGCATAAATGCATTTTGTTCAAGATTGTCTACCCATTTCTGTCCACAATGACCCAATCGCTTGATATTAACCAAGCTAAAGTTTCTGTACTGGGCCGACAAATGCTTAATTATCGACACGGACGGATATATGCTCTCGAGGAACGACACTTTTCGACAGCATAAAGCCCTTAGTAGAGCGAAAGTGGCGATTTCTTGATGGTTCCGAAACCTTAAAAAGGTGACTTTATCTGCTCCGGCGAAGACATTTAGTATTGTAGGAATACGTAAAAACCTATCCGTTACGTAACCTGACATTTACAACGCTGATGAAGTTCGAGCGAACTCAAGGAAATATTGATTTTGCTTCAAAGTGTTGCTCTGAGTTTTGAAATTTGTATTCTATTAAAAAGTGACTTAACAGGTCTAGCATGCTGACCGTTTCTCTGATGACTTTGTTTCCTATGCTCCACGTGTGTTCTTTAGAAAGGATGATGCTAAAGCCTGTACTAGCAGTGTACTCTGTTCGTTTAGAACGACGCCAATGTATAACATGAAATTCGCCCCCCTTCGGAAGATGCAGTCCCATCGGCTCTTCATCCGTCAATGTCAACTCAGACAGGTAGGTCAACAGAGCATCTTGGATGTTTTCGTCTGGTGCATAGTCCATGTCCTGAGTGCTATCTGTGAATAGAAAATCCTACATTAAGGGTCTTGAAAGGATGAAATGATGACCCTCTTCATAGCAGTTCCTATAGATAACAAACCTCGATAACAAACGTGGCCTGGTGTGAAATATAAAAACGATAGGTAAATAGGAAATGGGTTAAGAAACTTATGCGGAGCGCCTGCCCAAGATTAAAAAACTTTACAACGGCCCCACGAAGACTGTAGTAAAACTTATCATCAGCTCCAGCTTATAAAGGTGAACACCATTACGGACGAAAAAGCTCAGCTTGGTATAAAAGGGTCTCTGACCCCAAAAGATGATAAAGTTTAGTTGCTCCTGAACATCTTAAGGTATTTCGTAAGGGTGCAAACACGCATTTAATTGTGTCGATGGTGTCTGGTATACACGTAAACAAATCTGCAGCAGATTGTAGTTGTTGTACAAAAAAAAAAGCAACGTATATAGGTAGTCTAAGGAATGTAGGTTGGAAAGATCATTAGTTCCCAACCGGGCAATCCGTGGAGGTCACCTCGCATAGTTTTAACAACTGTTCTAGCCACACACCATGCCATTCAGGGTGCCTCGTTGAGAAGAAAACAATGCTCAAGGTGAGGACTCTAGTAATAAAGTTATTTCTACGACAAACGAAAGAGTTGGAGAGAATTAACACACGGGGCTCTGCCACTTAACTTAGCTTAAAGAAATGTCGGGTACTGTTTTAAAAAGCGACGGGTTACAACTACTAAGAGATGAAAACCAGAACTGAAAGCGGGAACGCATACGAACACTGCGGATTGGCTCTTGAAAGAGCGGTTTTAAAGTTGTCACGGGCCGGATGACAAGCACTTTGAATCGACATTATACCTTGAAATAACGCCTCACTCTGCTTTTGTTTGCAAATTGTCATTTCAATTACATCACCATCTTCCTTAAGTATGCTCATAAAACAGTCAGTCAGCCAAAGTGTCACCAAAGTTCTACAGAAAACAAACCCCCTTTTTAATGCTTACAGTCTCATTTTCAAGAGATAGGGAGAGTCGCATGATTTTTACTTCGAGTTTAGTCTAACACCTCTACACCAGTTACTTATCCTACCTCTTCGTCCCCGAATGTGGAACCTACAATCAAATTCACAGCCTGGAAACAAGATGTCTGCTTTTAAGTATTTCATAGACTTGAGCACTAGCCATGCCCGACATCTTGACCGTGTATCCTCATCTTTGAAGTGTATCTCTCCCAAAATGTTCTTCACATCAAAAGGAATTGGTATGTCTTCCAGCCTTTGCTTGGAGTTCTCGTTTGCAACCCATACCTACGTTAAAAAGAATGAATTATGTTGTGAAATCTGACGTATGGACATTGATCATTCCCGAAATAGTGCCTAGTACATAACCTGCTTCAAATAAACACTCTTTCAAGTGTTTACGTTAAATGAAGCGTCTGGCCGATTCTAATTTCTTGCCTCGGGTAGCATAAAGTTTTAACTATTTACCACATTAAGTGTCATGGACGCTGTCTCTGACCTTTTTTACGTATCTCTGGATATACCTCACAGTAAAATTATCTCGGGAAAGTGCAGTCATGACTTTCGTGGGTGGGCAGGTTCTTAGGATCAATTTTGTGAGGTATTTGTTTCTTAAAATACACGTGGAGGTTTGTGTATCTATTCATAAAAAATATTACCAATTATTAGACACAGACCTTAGGATTGTAAGCACGCGGACTTACCTTGCATCTCAATTGATACCAACATGGTGTCAGAAATGTTAAATCATATCTTGAAACATAACCTATCTCCTCAGGAAACGTTTCCTTGTACTGTGTTCTTAATGCCCTTTCATTTGGCGTAACCCCTTCCAAATTAAAAGCTAGCTTCCAGTGTTTATTGTTAGGGTATTTTATCTTTTCTGTGGCCTCTCTAATGCTCCACCGTCCATCCCGAACATCCTCTGAAGGAAAAACGATAAAAAGCGATCTATGGATTGATGTTAACAACTAACATTCAGAAGCCCCTACATAACACTACATAAAGTAATGAGGGCGAATTTAGCTGATAATTTATAGTAAAACTGAAAGAAACACTACCTCGATCTGGAACTTGAATTGTAACCTTTCCAAAGTGACACCACATGTCGGCCTTTGGCATCATCTCTTCAGCCATTTCCTGTTTGACCTTACGTAGAGATACCAAGACGTCCTTCATTAGTTGTTCTTTATAGCTTGGATGAGCAGCGTCAGAACTGCATGGTTCCTAAGTGAGAAGAAGGAAATAAGGTTTCTGCCTTGCTTATTTTTTAGCTTCACTACGCAAAATCTGGGTGGAAAGCTTCAAAAACGTGACGTCAACCAAACACCATCCAAGATAACATCGCCTTCGAATTTACTAAAAACTGGTAAGAATTTCAAATGTGCATGCTAAAACTTGAAAACAATATTCATAAACAAAACTTCACCACAAAGAAAGAATTGGGAGAGGCAACCAAGGAATGGAGAACAGAGGAAATTAATTACTCGTATGCACACCTGTGGTTCACATTGCTCGGCTGGTTTCAGTCGGTATTGTACGAGCGGTCCAGTTGGATGGCCATTTTTCAGCACCTGCTCCAGTTTCAGTTTTGGTACGTTGAGATTATAGTCATCAATGCAGCAACTGGTTTTCGTGTTTTTTCGTCCAACACCTCTCATTCTTGCTAAAGCCTTCAACATAACCCAAAACACATACTGTAAACAAGAGCCCAAGATTGAGATGAAGTTCCCGGCCACTCTTAAACTGAAATAAAATCTGCATGCCTACTTCCCGCTTCAAAGCGTATGACCTATAAGAAACTTATTCCAGGCATTCAGATAGATGCGGGGACGGCGCAAATAGAAGCGTAGTAGAAAAATAAAGCGAGGATACTCCCCCGAAAAAATTTGAAAAGTTGAATTGTCCAAGGTTGAATTTCGTGTGTTTCCTTTTCTCTCTGCTCGCCATTTGCGCCACTCTTTACTGTCTGAACGCCTGCTCGAGGTATTAAGGGGTTCCGTAAGCACGCTTGAGGCAGTATTTTGTGTATTTTAAAGGCATTCATATCTTACATCAGACAGTGGAACCCGGTCGATACATCCACATTTGGGGTCTCATTAACGATGAAAGCGTCCAACAATGATATGAGCTTCTAAACTGTTTGATGAAATATGTTTTACTTTTTGAGATTTAAGGTTCTGTCTTTACGAAAAGTAAAAAGGGCTCGTCGTTAAGACCCCTAAGTTTACTCCTGATTTACTCAAAAGCAAAAAGCGGATTGGACTGTCATGATGATTTGACGGACTAATATAGTTCGACTTCATAGTTTGAAGGATTACGGTAGTTAGTGAGAAGAAAGATGGCTTTCTTAAACGTTTCCAGTCTACTATTGATGATGGGTTGATGAATTCTGTGTATGTGTGTCCCCATTCTATGACTTTTCTTTTCTCCTAGTGCACTGCCCTTCCCCCCCCATCCCATGAGCTCCTGCTGATAACAATGAACGGTTTCTATTTGTAGTTGTGAAGCACGATACGTAGATCTACACTTCGATTTCATTCGAAGGAAAGACAACTTTTACCCACCACTATTTCTCCAATTAGAACTTTAGCATACTCCCTTTCTTCTTCTGTTCCAGAGATAATGTAAATTTCGTGATCTTCACGATCTAAGATTACTTTTGCTCCTGACTGAGCAGAAATGTGTCGGAGTTTGGCTGCCTCTTTTCCCTTCACTGAACCCTTGAATTTGTCTTCAACCTTTATTAGTTCCCGCCGTCTTCTTTTGGCACTATCCTGTACAAAAAACATGTGGGGAATTAGTCCACTCAATCTACGCAAGTCAGGCCATGTTCACACTATGCTGGATAGCTTTTGCGCCGGTCTGAAAACCATACCAGATAAGGCTTCTGTTCACACTGTGCATCTCGGCTAAGTGTTGATCGTAATATAACGGATAGCCTTTCTTCTCCGAACGACAAGCTCCGGGGGGTACTCCTGGAAATTCTTGGTGGGGGTGTGCAACCCGATTCTCTAAATCCTGACCCTATTTCAGACCCAAAAATGTCATTTTCCACACCCGTTTTCAGACCAGGGGCCCGTTTCTCGAAAGTCCTGGTAACTTTCCGGGCCCGAAATCAAATATTCAAATCGAAATATAAAGAATAAGAGCGCGGGTCCTGGCTAGCAAACTACTCCATTTTGTTTCATTAACTGATAGTTTTATCATCTTAGATGCAAAACTATTGAAATCTCGATCTTTAATGTAAGCGGGGACAGCTTACCGGGCCCGTTAATTATCGGGACTTTCGAGAAACGGCCCCCAGACCTCTAAAATCCATACCCGTTTTCAGGCCTGGCTTTAAGGAAGAAATTATGTCATTATTATTTAGATTAGAGCGCAAATAAACAAAATTCTTCAAATTCATTTCGAATTCGCATATTGCTGTTTCTTTCTTACTCATTTGTAATTGAAAAGATAAATACGTTCATGCACTCCCGTAGTTCCATCGAAAACCAAACCCGATTCCAGACCGAACTGGGCAAAGTGAATACCTGTGGAGGCCCAAAAACCATACCCTTTCGGGCGGCACATACCTTTATGGCTTATATGCGAGAGTACCCCCCGGGGAGGGAAGCTATGTATCCGGGAAGTATAGTGCGAGCATAGCCTCAGTCTATGTGGCAGGTAAATAGATCCTTTTCATAATATGGGGAGTCATATTGTGTCAAGTAGCGGAATTCATTTCCTTTTTTCTTTCATTTCGATTTGAGTTTTTAGAATCAACGAAAAAAAACCGCTGAAGCATATTTGTACTTTAAGTAAAATGATACCACCGTAAAAATGATCTTAAAACTATTTTTGGGTCCAGTAAGTAGTTACTACACTTAAGTTTGAAAGGAACGTGATCCTATTTAATAATAATAATAATTTGTTCGGTCGATTATGGTCACAAAAATGAAATCTATATTATTTAAAACAGTGTTTAAAAATATTCGTTACAAAAGAAGGGCTTATTCCAACCTCTAGTCCTCGATAGCTTTACATGACCTAACATTGATCCTAAAATGCCCAGCATTTCTATTTCTTAAGTCAAGAAACCTTAACTCCTATTTTTAACCAGTCACAAACAAAAAATTAACAATCAAACACCAAAGAAGGGAATAAAAATAAATTATCAAATAAACAAATCGAGCTCAGTACACCGTGTACTGAACTCGATTTGTTTGGCTAACTGCACTACTTGGTATTATTTTTATTTGCCATTCGTTTCTGCAGAACATTTAGTCACTATAAATAAAAGGTCACTTGAGAATGCCAATATGTTTAAAATATCTCTCCACGGATTTATATTAACAATCGAAGTCAATGAAGGTGGCATGACATTGCATAAAGTATACTTGCTGATGATAGGTCTAGTGCAGGCTCTTAAGTGTACTGTCAGAACTATTTCCTGTACTCATAACTATGGGTTTTTAAACACTTTACCACGATTCCTTTGATAAGCCTTTCAGCATGTGCAGTTTGGTCTTCATCACCAAAGATTGTAAATCCGGCTTCCTCCTTGCTTTGGGAGACTATTGTTGTTCCAGTTGTTTCCATAATTTCATGTAGCTTGTGGCCACCCTTTCCAATAACATGACCCTTCAGACTCAATGGAACGTCTACGAATTTACTTCCTCCTTCTTCTTCTTCTTCTTTACTTTCCTCCCGGAGACTATCGTACGACAACCTGACAATTTTAATAGGACAAAGAAACCCACTGAGATACATATACTTTGTTAAATATGTAGAATTCGTGTAGAATGTTTAGCCGTGATTTATGTAGTCATGTGTGACAAGATGACAATATATAGTTGCCTGCCGTTGCACGTTCGATTTTCCAAAGTTAACCTTTTTCTCCGATTTTTTACTTCTTTTACTTGTAAACCCTCCCACTGCCGCTGGTTGTAACTGCATGTGCATTTGGTAAAATTTCAGATTAGCCATTGTGACGAAACTCAACTGGAAGCTTACGAGAGTGATCGCAGGAAGAGCGTCTACTCTATAACACAAATGTTCCTTCCTTTATCTGGTGGAATCAGTGTTAAATTCTTTAATTCAATTATAAATAGCATAGGGTGTTCGATTTTAATCTACAAACCCAAAGTTTACTATCAATAAACTTAAAACATCAAAGAAGTTTAAAATAAACAAATTATACATTCTACAGCATAATCTTTCTCCGCTACCTTCGACTGCAATCTAAATCAGCACTATTAAAACGACAAGTCAAAGCCCTACATTTACTCCTGGTGGTGACAATCGTTCACTGAGGGGACGAAAAGGGAAAACTGAAATGATGTTTTACGTTATTCAAAAGCCTGCAGCTATTCAAAGTCTGAATCGACGAATTGAATGGATCTGCATTACTCGATGAATCGACTAAAACATAACTTACCTCTTCCGCCGTCTCTCATAGTCCTCGCTGGCCATGACTTTCTGATTTCTAAACGCGTTACACTTTAGCAATTAGTTTAGAACTGTTCCACATCTGAGACAAAACGATTAAGAGGTGCAGTAATAAAAAGAAAAACACCAGAGAAAACAACATGAAGTACTTCCGGGATGCAAATTTTTACCGAGCTGTCATCACTGGTCACAATCTCGTACCCAGAGTCTTCTGGCTTTTTGGTCAGCTGAAGCCAGAAGACTCTGGGTACGAGATTGCACTGTCACGTCACTGAACTCTGTTTTCTGACGAGCAACAAAAGAAGAAGCCGTTTTAGTATTCCCTTTCAGTGTAGCTCTGGCCCTGAGGAAGACTAATTTTGCTAGCCGAAATATTGGCCTTAAATAAATCAGCCCTTTGCCGTATTACCAGCCTTGTATTCATTATTTGTTTTAATGTGCAACCTTCGTTAAACGCGAGGCAGCTTGTTGACAGTTTGTCGAAAACTCGCAACATCACACTGTTCTTGTATAAAGTGATTTGCGCATCACCCATGAGAGTTTCTTTTAATTACTAGTAATATTCCTGAAGAGGACAAATGTCACCAAACGTTAAACTAGCTTTCGGGACTAGCTTGATGATCCCAAAGCCAGTCCAGCACTTCCTAGGACGGACCATTAGAAACGTCATGGGGTTGGGGTGGGGGTGGGGGGGGGGGATGGGGAATTTTCAAGCGGCATGAACTTTTTTTTTAACCTTTCTATGATCTTTTTAAATTTTCAGGCCAGGGCTTGAATATTTTTTAGAGTTACTCGGCGTGTATGAATTATTTAAATATATTTTTCCCTCGTTTTGTCGGCTTCGCCCTCTCCCCCCTTTTAAGATCTTTTAAAGGGACTGGTTCACGATAATGCGCATGTGTGAGTTCTGACAGTAGCTGATTGTTTTTCAACCAATCGGAAGCGAGTTAGATGCACGCAAGTAAATTTACAAAATTCAAATTAATTGTTCGCGACGCGAGAGTATTTCCGGGCATTTGGTTTGATTTTATTTATCCCCATAATTCAATTTTATTCTTTGCTACTCCTCAGATATATGTTGCAGCCGATAAGAATAAGATTTACAGCCCTGTCCTGCTTTGAAACAAACATTTACCAACGTGTATTTTTACGAGGTCGTACCCACGCTAACAAAACAGTCACCGATCGGCAAACAAAATTTGTAAACAAACATCTTATTACTGTTCTCTCAGTTCGCCTTATATAAACCCAGAAATACCTACAAATAGCGCCGGACCGGTGACAAAAACACACAACGTATGAGTATAAAGATTATCCTTAATTGAGCATAAATTTCAATTGCTTATCAGCAAATGAACAAATTCATTCGCGTTGCATCGGGTCAGTGTTCCGCAAAACAAATGTTATCGAGTAGCACACATAAAGAAACTAGATTATGAACAGAATATTCAGGCAATAATTTATTTTAAAAACATCAATTCTTAAACATATACGATCGTAAAGCAAAGATACAAGGAACATTTCAAGTGTACCAGATCGGTGAAGATCGCGCGGCCTGTTGCGGTATAACTACAGGTCGGAGTCAAAAATCAAATCAAAGTTGAACGAACTCATGCCTTTAACCACTTTCCAAGTGTCGTGTATTCTTTTCGTATGCCACACACTACTCCTAGAACCATACCAGATCGATAAGCTAAGCTTCTCTATCTCCAGAGACTCTTGAGAACGTCCTGTTGCCGGACGGCCACGATGCTCTTCTCAACCTCCATGATCAAAACATTATTTTTTGCGTCTTCTTAAAACGTAACCAGTCAAACGACACAACCACACGTTAATCACCACTACCGAAGTATAACTAGACCAGCCAAAGCGACGGATGTCCAAATAAAACGAAGGATTTTCAATGATTGTACCGGTAATGGCGATTTCGAATTTAGTGTTGACCCAACAAATTTATTCTGAAGAGACAAACGGCGCGCATGCGCATTATCGTGAACCAGTCCCTTTAAGTTCATCTTTTCAAAGAGCATATTATAATAGTAATAATAATAATAATAATAATAATAATAATAATAATAACCAGGGTAAACCCGTCTGCTGAAGCTGTTATAAATGGGTGCCCTGGGCATCAGTCGGCTGCAACCTCGTCCCCATGGTCCTCTCGTTTTCCAATATGGCAGCGGCAGGAGAGAATCCTGCCATATTGGAAAACGAGAAGACGCTGGGGACGAGGTTGGGGTGGCTGGTAAACCTGTTTTAGCTATCAAAAGTTATACCTGGTTCCGAGCCTCAGGGATATAAAACAAGTTGTGATCGCATTGAATTTATAAATTTGGGTGGTTTTTGTTAATTCGAAACTGGCTTATTGACTGACTGTTTACTATGAATATGAATTGTGAGAAAGAACAAATCATTTGGATATTTTCAATTTTTGTTTGCAAAGCAGCGCGCTTACTGGGTTGCTTCCAGGGGGTGTTGCATTGAGAAAGGGGTTTATTTCGTTGATTCTAAGCTATGTGTCTCTAGCCCCATAACTGGTCTTGTGGTATAACTGTAAACTAGAGAACAATGCAGTGTTTCCGTTTATAAGCATTTTCCCGGCCACGTAAATGATGAAGCGCATACTTGGAGTGACACCTATTGTAAGTTTTGTTCAAAATGTAAGGGGGGTGGAGGAGGGGGGTAGAGGAGGGAGGTTGAGGAGGGTAAAGGTTACCCTTCTACAATTGCAGTCAACCTTGCCTTTTCTACTGTTTGCTTACAAAATCTGTTGCTGACTAGATCCATCAGAATACGGTACCTTTGATTTAAAGTTGTTCCCTGCTATTTATTAACAAGTTATCCTTCCCCATACCCGATCTACAGAAGTAGAAGCCTTTTGGACGGAACGACAAATTAAAAAATCGCTTCATACCCAGCAAACTTCACAGGACCATAATAATTGTTGACTGCGCCTCGCTTTGGCGCACTGAGTCGTGAAAGCGACTCTTCCGGAAGTCAACCAGTTTACCGTAAACTGTTACCACATGGTCCGCGTAGTTCTAAAAATAACTTTTTTGAAATTTAGATATCCCGGCCAACGACCATAAACTTCCTCTCTGTCCTATTATGATCTCTTAACAGGACACAACTTAGGTACCAAGGATTCATGAAAGCAAATTTTATTTAAAAAGTAATCGTAATTTAAGCCCTCGAGTAAAGAAAATGAAAATGAACAAAAAACGTTTAGTTAAACTCTCGTTGTATTGTAATTGTTATTGACTCAAATCGACCTTTTTAACTTGGGATAGCACGTGTCCCTTAAGAGCAGACCCTCGTGTGGAAGCCCCGTAAAACGTGCGGTTTTATTTCTTATTTACCCTCATTTATTTATCTACACTATGACTAGTGCTAATTGTGTGAAAAGGTTAAAAGATAAGAATGATTCACTGAAGTCTGAAATTCGTATAACCTGACGGCGAAAATAGTTTGGGTTCAAAGAAACGATTCACAGTATCCTCTTAGATATACCAAGAATTGAAAATTCTTATGTTGACACAGCGATGCTTAGTCCAAGGGCGAAAAAGTACTACTCTTAATAATTGAAACCATTTTCCCCCTTTTTACTATTCTTTCTTTGACTTTGAACAGTGCTTTTCAACTATTGCGCAGTCTGCGTATGTTACGTATTTCCCGTATTGTCACTGATCACTTTTGCTGGATCAGACTCTACTTTGACTCGGCAGGGAGGGGATTAAAAAAAGAGAAGAAGGCAAGAGGTGTGTGTGTGGAAGGGGGGGGGGGGGGGGGGGGGGGATTTGGGGGGGGGGGGGGGGGGGGGGGGGGGGGGGGGGGGGGGGGGGGGGGGGGAGCGATTATGGAGGTGATTAATCGAGGGACGGCTATTATTCGAGGAAATACGGTACTTACGAACTTTAAGTTTCCTTTTTTCGTCCTTCTGTCTTGTGTTGTTTGTTTACCCATTTCAGACCGCGAGACGTTCTGAGAATATTTTTTTCCGTTGCCTTATATCAAATATCCATTCATTTGAACGCGAATAAGGTTAAATTAAAAAAAAAAGACACCGTTTCCTTGATGAAAATCAAGTGGACTAAATTGCTTAAACAAACAACCCTTGCGAAATAGGTCTGTGATGTATCGATAGTGCATACAATAAAAGGAGTAGACCTGTGTAGAGCTTAGGATTACTGTGGTATTACATGCATAGAAATTCCCATATTTAGCTCAATTTTTAATGAAATTTTTGCTTTCTTCATCTTAAGCACTAGCAGTTACATAAAATCTTCTAAAATACCTTCTATTTTCTAAATATGTACAATAATCTATAATAATACTACTATTCAGAGATGTTTTTTTTATCATATCATTTAGAATCTTCATAATTATTGTAGTGTTTTTCATTAACTAGTCTCTGAAACTAGTCTCACCAACATCTCCTAGAAGTTCCTAAATAAATCAATATATACATATTAGCTTCACGTCATTCATTTCCATGCATGTTTAACTTGTGAATAGTCGAAGGCAATACATAACAATTATTCACCGAAGTGGAGGTGGCTAGTCCTGGTTATTTACCGAACTGCGAAGCAGTGAGGTAAATATCCACGACTAGCCACCGACATCGAGGTGAACAATTGTTTTAGTATATACTAAAATAGTGAGATAATTGAGCACAACAATGACGATTTTTAACTTAAATACTGTTGCCAACGATTACAATTTTGGCGCGTAATGACCAGGCGGCTGCGGCCGTCGCTTTTTCTTGCCGACAATTAAAACTTTTGAAGGCATTTGTTTAGCTCTTGCGGGGAAATTTCTTCAAAAGGAGTTGTGAATTCTTTTTGTATTTAAAATCATTCTATAAAAAAAGATCATTAAATTTAGTTTTAAGCTTATTTATGAACAACTCAACTAAATAAAGTAAGCAAGACTTAAATTTAATTTGCATTTGTAAACAAAAACTTTTTCACCGGTTTTATCGATAAATTCGTGTCAAAAAGACAAAGCTTTACCTGTTAAAACTTCCAATCCGAATTTCGTCACCTTCTTCGTGTATTTCGGAAACAGCTTGCTTGATTAGTTGTGAAATTTCTTTGTTTGTTTACGGCAGCAAACCGGGAAGGCATTTTGCTCGCAACTTACGCGAGTTTGGCGTTGCTCGCTCGGAGGAACTG